AAATTTTTAAGTTTTTATAGAAACAGACTATATAAACTAAGTTAAAAGATAACCAATAATATGGAAAAATATTTACACAATACATAACAGATTATCCTTAATATGTAGTAAGAGCCTACAAATCAATACAAAACAGCAGAAAAAACAGTCACTATATGTTTGGACAATTCACAGAAGAAATGCAAATGGTCTTATGTCCAAGGGAAGGAGAAGCGGGTATCTTAGCTCCAGGAGAGAAAAAGTAAATTTGCTGTTGCTCTGCCTTTTTGTTGTATTCAGGCCCCCAGCCAATTCTCAGGAGCCTGCACACCTTGAGGGTAGAACTTCTTCACTCTACCAACTCACATACCAGTCTCCTCTGGACACAATCTCACAGATACACCCAGAAATTGTGCTTTACCAACTAACTAGGTATCTCTTAATCCAGTCAAGTTGACACCTAAAATTAACCACCACAGCTTCTTTATACTCGCACTAAAAAAGCTTAAAAACAAGCCTCAAAAGGATCAAGCTGAACTTGATCTAAAATGAGAATTTCATTGGCTGGGCTTATCAGCCAATGGAACACTCCAGAGGGAAAGATCAGTTAACTTGAAGAAAGGGTAATAAAAACCATCCAAACTGAACCACAAACTCAAAAAAAGAAAAAAAAAGGACTAGAAAAAAGATGGAATCTTAGTGAATTGTGAGATGATATTAAGCAATCTAACATACGTATAATTGGGTTATCGTAATGCAATTGAAGCAGAAAAAGTTTGAAGAAGTAAAAGGAGAATTTTTTCCAAATATGATGGAAAACATGAACTCACAGACCCAAGAAGCTAAATAAGCCCCGAACCAAGGCACACCATAATCAAATTATTGAAAACCAGTGATAAAGAGAAAAATGTTAAAAGTAGCCAGAGGAAAAAAGACATTATTCGCAGGAAACAATGGTATTACTACTGACTTCTCATTAGAAATAGTGCAAACCCGAACACAATGGAATATCAGCTTTAAAATATTGAATGGAAAACAGACAACCTTAAAAGTATCTTTCAAAGTAAATGTGAAATGAATATGTTTTTGACATTAACAAAAGTAGAGAAGATTTATCACCAACATTATGCACTGTAAGAAATGATGCAGTTCTTTTAGCTGAAGGAAAATGATACAGAAGAAAACTCGATCTACACAGAGTCATAAAGAACACTGGAAATGCTAAATATAAAAGTAAACAATAGTTGACCATTTAAAGCAAAAATGCAGTGAATTATGGAGTTTTAAACACATAGTGATAAAACGTATAATCAATAGAAGTGCAAAAGATGCAGTAGGAAGGAAATGTAGTGCTGTGATGTTGTATGGTTATTAAATTAAGCACGAAATATATAATCCTGTTTTAAGGTAGATTGTAAACCTTAGAGCAACCACTGAAGCAAACAAAAATTATTTAACATGCTAGTAAATAAGATAAAATAGAATGTTAAAAAACAGCAATTATATCAAAAGAAGGGAGAAAAGGAGGAGAAGAGAACAAATAAAACAAATAACAGGACAATAGACTTAAATGCAGCCTTATAAGTAACTGTATTAAATGTTAAAGGACAACACACTGTAATTAAAAGACAGAGATTGTCAGATTGGGTGAAAAAGCATGGCCCAACTCTATGCTGTCTATAAGAAATCCATTTTAAATATAAAGGTGCAGATATTTTATAAGTAAAAGAATGGTAAAAGATATACCATGTGAGCACTAATCATAAAGCTGGAGTAGCTATATTAATATCAGAAAAATTAAACTACAGGACAGATAATAATACCAGAGTTAAAGAAGGACATTTTACAATGTAATAGAATCAATTCATGAAGAAACTATAATAGTGAATATGTGCATCTAATAGCAGAGCTGCAAATAACATGAAGTGTAAGTTTACAGAATTGAGGAATAGGTATATCAAGTATTATAGTTAGATATTGCAACACACTACTCTCTAATTGATAGAAAAAGGAGACAGAAAATTATTATAATGTGAAAGAATTGAACAGTGCCACCATCATTACCTAATAGGAATATTTAGCACATGGAAAATACACATTCTTTTCAAGTGCACATAAAACATTCACTAAGCTAATGTAAGAATGAGCAAAAAAGGAAATAAATCATCAGAACTAGAAAATTCAAAGGAAGTTTGCTTTATAAATTCCAATTTAAATCAGTTTTTACAATGAATGTGAATAACTTGTTACCCTACTTTAATATAGAAGAGTGTCAGGCC